GGAGTTTGCCATTGCCTACCGAGGGACGACCGCTGTTAAGAAAAACCCTTTTTTCTATTTTTTTTTTCGATGTTGCTTTTACCAGGGGTTGAACCCAGGCATTGCGGAGTGGAAGCACGCACTGCTTACCACTACACCACAGCGGCCGACAATAATACAATAATACAAAGTTGGATAAATATTGACATTTGGGACATCCGACTGCCTTTTAAGGTTGCATTTGAGAAGGAAAGAGAAGGCGGGTAACAATTTCATCTCCTTTTTTGAAAAGGTAGTGGTGAAATGCGTTTTTTGTAGAAAATTTGAATTAAAACAGATTCCACTTGCTTCACGGCGCCTAATAAGATATTTTGCGTTGGCCAATACAAAAATAGCGTTTAAAAGCAAAAACGGCGTGTAAAGTAAAGATTTTTAGTTTGAATTGAAACGAATAAAGAGCAGAATCCTCCTCACACATAGGCCAAGAATAGTAGCGCTGTGATACCATATGGAATACTAATCCCTTTCGATGTCATAAGTTTTACCGATGGTCTTATTTCCACCTGTGAGATCTCTGCCAAGCGTGCGTAATATTCTTCTATGATCTTGCAACTTCAACATAGGTTCGATGCAGTGTTGCCAACTCGTGGGATTTCGCCCATAATTTGGGATTTTCGCACCATAAAAGGGCGCGTGGGATTTTGCGTATCATTATGGGATTTTTAGCTAAATACAATTTTATGGTTCTATTGGTTTTTTTTTTGTATTTGCTGCTCATTCCAACATGACGGGTGGGACATTTAAACTTGTTTTTCCTCAAACTTTAAGTAATTTCTCTTTAACCCTTAATTTGGCAAGTTTCAAACTGTTAATATCTGAATTCAAATATCAGTTTAATACGAAACTAATAACGTAAAAAACTTAGTTATATGGTTTACACAGAAAATTTTCATATTCCCTAAGAGTGACGGCTGAGACAACGACAACACCTACCTCTGAGTGGATGGATTCGTTTGCCATTTTAGGCAAACTTTATATCAAAATATTTCTTGCATAGCGGCTTTCTCTAATGTAGTTAGTATAATGATAAGGTCTATGTATGCTTTTATGGCATTATTATATGTGAAAAAAACACTTTAAGCTTGTGACGGGTGGGACAGTATTTTGTGACTAGTGGATCGAGTCACTATTCAGCGCACATAGGATTTTTGCACTTTTTTCCATAAAAGCATGAATTTCATATTAAAGCCGTTTGAAACTTGCTTACACTAAATTTGTTTGGGCTGTAGAACTGTATACACAAAAATATTTTACACTCAAATTCACAAAAAATAAAGAACATTATAATTGCTTTATAAATCGAGAATTTGTATGAAAACGTCACTCTGTAAAGCTCTTTAAACTTATTTTATTTTTTATGAATAAGACCGTTAGATTAAACAATACTGAAATTTTTACGAAAATTTGTTGAGTTTTCCTAAATTTTGTATAAAGAGTGAATGTGTCATATGATTTCGGTTAAACCTCGGACGGTATTTTTATAGAAAATACCAAAAAAAAATTAGCTCGAAAAACATTACGAATATTTAAAAAAATCAACATGTGGTCTTTATGTAAATTGTTCTTAAAAAGTTTTAATATTTAATATTCATAAATGAGATTTTGGAATTTTAAAATGGGATAAACAGGGCGTTTTCCAAAGGAGAATGGGATTTTTGTATCTTTGGAGTTGGCAACACTGGTTCGATGTACCATGTAAGCCAATAAAAGTCCTTATAAGGAAACTAAAGAGCACAGATAAGTGTTTTCAGTTATAGGAGGCCAAGAATCATCATTCAGGTAGCTCACTTTGCGAATTTGAACGAAATCGGTTAATAAATACGACTTTTATAAGTAACTCTACTCCAGCGCCACCAGCGTGTTGTCTAGTAGGCTATAATAGGACTATATATGCAAGGTATAACCTCCGACAATTTGACTGGTTTTTGAGTTTAGTCCGAACAACGAAAACGGCTATCATTTTATGTATGTATGTACATATATGTTTCGGATGAAAAAAAAATCATCATGAAAGTAATAAAAGTTTCGAATTTGCATTAACAAAATCGGTTTATAAAAAGGGCTTTTATCCGGTCCGCTTTTCGCAAATGCTTTTTTCATCATGCTGGTAGCGCATACTTTGAATTTGAACGAAAGCGGTGCATAAATACGACTTTTATAAATATCTCAACTCCAGCGGTAACACACGTTTTGAATTTGAACTAAATCAATTTTATAAATAACTCGACCCCAGCGCCACCTAGTGAGTTTTCTAGTAGTAGCCTATAATAGGACCATATATGCAAGGTATAACCTCTGAAGATTTGACTGAAATCTATGCAGTAGCTTTTGAGTTAGCTCGGCACAACGAAAACGGCAATTATTTTATATATATTAGATTAATGGCCTTATTCATAAAAAATAAAGTAGGTTTAAAGAGCTTTATAAATTGACGTTTTCAAACATTTTCGATTTATAAACCGTTTATAAGGCTACTTTATTTTTTATGAATAAGGCCATAAAAATGGTATATAAATATTAAAAATAAAATAAATGAAGAATGAGAGAATTTTATTCACATAAAATTCTGACCAAAGAAAAATCTCATCGGCAAATATTCCCAAACAGTCAAAATGAATCATGGCTTCATTAAAATTCTAGTATATATTAAAGAAATTAATAGAATTCAAACAAATACTATATTCAAAGGGACTATCGCCCGTATGCTGTAATTCGAAAGTTCGTAGTTTCGAATTCGTAGCTCCGTTCAGAAAATTCGAAAATTGATATGTAAACCGATCAGAACTATCAACGGCGTTGCCAACTAAAATAGTGAAATTCGAAGTTCTTAATCAGCTGCTTTGACAGTAGGGATAAATCGATACCATCAAGGTATTACTGAAATGAGTACAAGGTATCGATACCTACTCAGTATCGGAAAGGTATCGAGTACTTGCACATAGAACTACGATTTTGCAAATTTTTTAAAGTCATTGAATTTTTTTCAGAAAAAATTTGCATTTTTAGAAGATTATTTATCTTCTAATATTTTTTCATACCAAAACAATAGAATACATTTTTACCAGATTAATAGATAAAGGTTTTTCATATAAAATAAGTTTGATAAAATAACTCCTTTTTTGTTATATTTTCCAAAAAAAATCAACTTTTCCTAATCATTTCCTGAAAGGCGAGATTTTGATATACGGGCATGTTCTGAAATTCGAAACTTTGAACTCGACTCGATTTTCCAAATGCATTTTAATTATAGCTGATGAAAATACTGAATATTCTAATTGGAAACCGTAAAAGAAGCAGCAGCGATATGAAATAAATCATTTTAATGCGAGACTTGTAAATTGTTGGGTTAAAAACCATCGAGAAAATTATCGAAATCGAGTCGATTTCAAATTTTCGAATTTTAGAGCATGTCTGATAGTTGTACCTGTTTTTTAGAAAAGCCTCTAGCAAGGAACAGATGACCCAACAACCGTTATGTATAGACGCGCGTGCTTATATAGCTGCGGAAATGTAGTGCGCATATCTTCCCATTCCTCAAATGGATTGCTTTTCAAAAAAGATGTTGAAGCATAATAAGTTTTGCGCTTCCGATACAAGTACTTTTTTTTTTGATACCTACTTGGATCGCAGTAAAAAGTATCGAGTACTTGGTGAATTGAGAAAAGTATCGAGTATGTACTTGGATTTACTTGTGTCGATGTATCCCTATTTGACAGAAACAAATCAAAATAAATATAATCGCAAGTGAATAGTGAAATTAAAAAAAACTTAGTTTAATCATTATTTGAAAATACTTTTCCTTAGTTAAGTAGAATACAAAGGTTTCAGTAGCCGGTGCACTTTTTTCCCAGGAGGAAGAACAGCTAACAGTTGCATTAATATACAAAGGAGATTGGCATTTCACTAGATATTGTACCGCTTTAATTCTTGAAACGCTTTCGCAAAATTCCACCACATCCTCTTTAGGTCCTTTTACAAAGCCTAGACCAATGTCCGGCCTTTCGCTCATGCGAAATGATCTTCGATCTGTTAATTTTGTAAACATTTAATAATAATTTTTTTTCTATTCACACTTCAACTAACATACATATTTTTGCGTTTACACACTTCGTTTTATTGATATTTTAAAAAAATTTTTCGCTCCGACACGAGTTGCTATTCGTACAAAATTTCCGACAAATAAATAAAAATGACAGCTACGTCGGATTCAGGCATACCAACATTACGACTTTCGAAGATGGCCTACGAATTTCGAAATTACTGCATAGGGGTGTATATCGACTGCCCGCACTTCGAAAACGCCCTATCTCAAAAAACTTTTCAAAAACGCCATATTTCAGAATTTTATTGAAAATCACTCTATCTCAGGATTTGTTTGAGGAACGCCCTACCTCAGTATTCACTTCACTTCAAATTTATTGAAAATGTGCTGATATAGGGTGTTTTTTAATCGGCAGCTGAGATAGGGCGTTTTTGAAACGAATTCTGAAATAAGGCGTTCTTAAGCCAAATTCTGAAATAGGGCGTACTTGAAAAATTTTTTGAGATAGGGCGTTTTCGAACTGGCTGTCGAGATAGGTCGATTTTCCACTCAGCAGTCTATATGGAGAAATATACAAATATGCAATTAAAATCAGGGACGTGAACCGGTTTTGAACCGGAAAACCGCTTTTTTCTATTAATTAACTGAACCATAATCCGAACCGAAATATTCCACAAATGTTTGATCCGAACCGAAAACCGAACCACTTTCTATAAAGGTTTAAAGGCTTGTTTCAACCAATTTTCAATAGATAAATGGACCCACTTTTTTTCTTTTTGTTAAACATGGTAACACCTACCATATTTGTTTACCATGTGACAATATCAAATGTAAAGGCAACCCATCCCATTTGATACACACTTGACCCTTAACCTTGCGTGTTGTTGCACTTGACACTTGACACTTAAACTTGCGCGTTATTTTTTTTTTTGTTTTTCGGTAATGATTTGTCCTTTTTTCTCCAATCAGTCTCGTTAATTATTATATTTGTTACTTTGAAAAATTACATCTTATACTGAATTACATTTGAATTTTCAAAAATGTAAATTTTCGGATGCGGACAGCATCCTCCTTGTTTCTTCTATACCACTTTTCGTACTTGGACGCAGTTGTAAAATGACCTGCACCAGCGACCACGGACGAACACACAGTGATCCTGGGCTGCACACAAAAAAAAATCTTTATTAATATTTGCATCTTCACTTTTATGGGGCCTTGTACTTACTTGCAAGTATGCAACCGCTGCACTTGCACAAATAAATCGCTGCAGTTGTAGTTCCGAGTGGGCTGCACCAGCCAAACGTCGGCGGACACACAGAAACTTAATTTCCAAGAAACAATCGATGAAAATATCGGCAGTGTTGCCTGTTGAACTTTTCATACGAAGACCATACTTCTCCATGTATTTTAATAGTAGTTGCTATAAATAAAAAAAGCAACACAGGTTAAGGCAGAATGCGGGAGCGAGACAACTGTCAGGTTATCCAACCTTGTATTATTGAATCATGGTGTAAGTGTAGATTAAGAATAGTTGCGTTTTTTTACTCATTTCCAGTAAAATCCAGTAAAATTTTTTTTTACGAATTTTTTTGTTTTGGCGTTTTCGCACGCAAAAACTTGCAAAGTAGGGGAAATTGAGAGAGCGAAAAATTACAGTTGAGGTTGCAAGTTTTTACTGGATTTTACTGGATAAATTTTTATTTGTAAGAATTTGCCAGTACGAAAAACAGCTGATCGCATGTTGCTGGATGAAATTTAAACTAATAAGGAAACTGTTTGAAAAAGTAGACGACTTCGTTTATTTGGGAACCAGCATTAACACCAATAATAATGTCAGCCTTGAAATCCAACAGAGAATCACTCTTGCCAACAAGTGCTACTTTGCGCTGAGTAGGCAATTGAGAAGTAAAGTCCTCTCTCGTCGTACAAAGA